ATTGAAAAATATTTTGGCCTGGGGGGAGGGCCATGGAAAAAAATTTTGAGCTGGGGGGAGGGCCATGGAAAAAAAATTTTACCGGACCATTTTGCACCAGCCCTCCCCCCCCGGTAAATATCGTACAGTCCCCTAGAGGAACCATAATTTATACGCAACAGATCTTTAACAAACATAACATTGTAGGACACTAGGAATTCAAACAGAAACAATCCAATTCCAAATGATTCTGCTTTGTTTCAAGAAGACATAAGGCTAATTTGAAAGGATACTTTAAAAAGACAACCAGACAAATGCACAGCTGCTAGTAATCCACTGTACAAAAATGTAAACTATGTAGTATTGCAAGTTCAGCAGTGATGAAGATGATGCCAGGGCTTAAAATACTTTTTCCTGCATACCTGCACTAGTGCGGGTAACACTGAAAATTACCTGCAGCAGACACTTACTACCTGCTCCAATCAGAATGTAGGAAGTATGGGTCGCCAAAAAAACTGTCCAGAAACCATTTCTATTATTTCTTTTATACTTTATAGATGGTGACAGTCAATACCACTAATGAAAATCCACATGCACCTATACATGTATTTGTCTGTTAACAACAGAAAACTTACCCGATAAACTGATCAAAATCTTCAGCTCAGAAACCACACGCAGCTGAAACAAAATTTATAACAACTATCAATGAATTCATACAATTATCATTATTCAGTATTCTGCAACACATAGATATCAAGCCTTCTAATGTTAAAATCGTTATATTTACTTTTTATTATATATATATATATACAATTATAGATCTATAGTTGTACTGAACTTAAGCTTCTACCTTCTAGAAAAGTTACAAACGTAACTGTGCCAAAGGAAGTGAATGTACTTTTATGTAATTTCTTATCACCTAAGAATATGTATTAGGTACCTGAACTATTGGTTTCTTGGAGAAAGACTTGTTGGACCTTTCCAAGCTGACTTCATATCTTGTTGAACCTAGAGCAAGAAATATTGCTGCAATTAAACTAGATGTGTACATATACATGCATTTTTCTTAGACAAGTAGTGCACAGTAAAATCATTGAACAAGTGAAGAAAATGTTTATCTTTGATTGCAGTTATCTTTTTTCTCTCCTCTAACTTACTGATTTTCAAAAGAGTGTTGCCTACACAGTATGGTCCACATTGACTTGAGATTTGGTAAATAATCATAAAAGTCTACAGACTGAATAATAGTACCCCAAAATTTGAGCCATTTCCCTTATTTCTGGGTGAGAACACACTGTTATTGAATGTTCCTCTTGATCATATACGCAGTCATTGTAAGGAAGAGAAAAATTAACACCACTGCCGAAGTCTGTTACAAGTTGCTGTTGCAAAGGAGGATACTCCTGTGACATGAATATGGCCTCCTCAACACTGGCTGAACTGCCCACAAGTCGGGACCCAGTTCTCTGTGGTTGCAGTGTACAATATACTTTTTTGAACCAGGCAAAAATTAGGTTGCCCATCAGAACTTTAGGTTAGGTGGATACTCACTTCCTCAAATTAAGTAATGTTACATACATAAGCCTTTGACAATATTTCTAACAGCCTTTAGTAACTTAATTGATACTAGTAATAGCCATTAATACCTAAAATAAAAAAGTATCTGCCGGCTACAGTGGTGCAAGCCAAGTGGGCATGATTTGGTGGGGGGGGGAGCCGGGCATTCTTAAAATCCAGGTAGCACACTGGGCTACCTTGGTTCAAAAAGGTTGCACCAAGTAAAATTTGGTTGCCCGGGGCAACTGGGCAACCAGGTATCTTGGGTTGGCTGGTGTTCAGTGAGGTCTGCTACTGTTTGGCTGCACCAGCCGAATGTTTCAACATGTTCAAAACATTTTCTTGTGGACGGGAGGTTCAGCCATGCATATGGTTACCTGGTGTTTGTCCAGTGTAGGTAGTAGTAGGTCAGCAGTAGTCAGGCATACATGTATATGGGGGTCAAATCTAATTCAAATTGGGTGTATGCTGTGAAGGAACAGTTTAGATATACAGGAGTACATTATACATGTACTGGAGAATACATTGTTTTGTATTGAAAGATCTCTTTAGATGTATCTTTCAGAGTAGCAGATACATATTTTTATTATATATGTCACCTGGTCACCTTATTTACTATACAAGTATCATTCTGATCATACCTGACTCTGTCTTGATACTGTAAAGTAGCAGATGCCCCTGCTTAGTGCCGACTAGTAATTTATCAGCTGAAAAAAAGAAACAATCATTGTTATCAAACACATAATAAGAATTCAATTGATAAAAAGTGCAGGTCCTCTAGTACTTGGGTCTCTCAGGACTCAAAGTCTCTCACCCTCAGTCTCAGCTTCCTATAACATTATCTTGGAGGGAAGGATGTAGCGACCATTCACAAAACACACAAACTCATACTAGTCTACAAATCACTGAACAACTTGATGCCGGGACACATGAATGAACTCTTTGTAACTTGTCGTGAGAGTGCCATTAGAAACACCAGGCAAGCTTCCTCCCACAAACTGATGGTGCCTAGAGTGAACAGGAACTGTATGCAGAGATCTCTGGCTGTGTCTGGGGCTATCATGTGGACAGCATACCATCTGGAGTGTGCACAGTGTGCTCCATCAGTGAGAACTTTCAAACACAGAATACAGTACTCAGTCAGTAGTCGAGAAATTTGACTTGCGTACTGATTTGCGGACTGTGATTTTGGACAAAATGTTACGTTTTTACCTCCATGAAAAATGGAGGTATTGTTTTTGGCGGCGTCTGTCTGTGTGTCTGTGTGTGTGTGTGTGTGTCTGTGTGTCTGTGTGTGTGTCTGTGTGTGTTTCCGCAACTTTGTAGTCAGCATAACTTCATAACGCCTTTATGGATTGTGATGATATTTGGTATGCTGATAAGTCTTAGGAAGACAAAGGTCAAGGTCAAATATGGGCCTCCTGGTGGATGACCTTGGTACTGCAGCAGAACTTCCGGTTTTTGTATCTTTGGTCCTGAACATGCTATGGTCTTGAAGTTTTGGTGACAGATAGCTTTTCCTGTCAGGAATAAGTGGTGTGGGTTTGGTCCCCCTAGCAGCTTGTTCAGGAACTGCAGGGGACTTTCGGGCGAAATCTTTGAAAGCCAATAAGTCCAGACAGGAACAGCGTATTTTCATCATTTTTGGTGTGTAGGTATCTGACAGAGAGATGTACATAATTAACTGCAAATTATGCAAATGAGGACTTTATTTGCATAATTAATGAGGAAATTATATAATTACAGTGTTTTACATTATAGAACTTTCATACATGTAATGTATGTAACCTATGGCAGATGGAACATCAACAGATACTAATTATGCAAATGATGACCTAATTTGCATAATTAATGCAAAAAATCTATGATTTCTCAATGGTGAATGATGGGAATGTCATACTTGGGACATCTTTAAGTTAATCAAAAGTTAACATCACGATGCATATATTATGTTAATGCAGAGGTCATTTGCGTAATTAAAGAAGAAATTTACATTTACATATCAAGCCCATATTTCATGGAGGTAATTTATTTTTAACAGCGAGCAGATTATTATTGGAATGAGCAGAGCACTTTGGACTAATCTCTCTGGCTGTTCACAGCTTAGAGGTACATATCCAATATTTTGTCAAAAACATCTCTATTCCATAGCGGATCATAATGAACCCCAGCGGGGGTCTTCACGCTTCGTTAAAAATGGAAAAATCTCAGGATTATTCAAAGATCTTCAATATTTTTAGACGAAATCTTGAGATCTTATGAGACAATCTTAAGATTTTTCATGACAATCTCAAGATCTTTCAGAAAATCTTAAGATGAAAATGAAAGGTCTCAAGATCTTTCCAACTTGTTTTCAAAGCATCTTGAGATTTTTTCATAGCATCTCGATATGCTTTAAAAATATCAAGATTACTTTATAAATCATGAGATCTTTAAAAAAATCTTGATATTTTTTAAAGCATCTCGAGATGCTCGGGAAAAATCTCAAGATGGTTTTAAAATATCTTGGAAGATCTTGAGACCTTTCGTTTTCATCTTAAGATTTTCTGAAAGATCTTGAGATTGTCTCATATGATCTCAAGATTTCGTCTAAAATATTGAGATCTTTGAAATAAATCCTGAGATTGTTCCATTTTTAACGAAGC